ACAGACAACTGAGTTGAAGTGATACATAACTATGATGGAGTAGCTATAAAGCGCCATCATAAACTGATGATTACTCCTATAATTGACTCGTAAATTATGGTGTCATAACTCAGAATTATAATACGCTAAATTGGATTCGTTGTATCGTATAGCTGACATAAATAAATTTCATGTATAGTATTCGTGCTATGTTATTTAATATTATCTTTGAGATATGTTTAGGCTGTCTTTAATATGTCAATTATCGTAGATATAGAAGAATTATAGCTTACCATCAAGTGCTTGAAGACCGAAAACTCCATCAATGTTGAATTTTCCGTACTCGCGGGCAAAGAAACTTACAACCTTTTCAACCGCAAGTAAGGTTCTTCTCAGGAGCTCTTTATGTCGCCCAATGTTTACTGAAGTAAATTCGGCGCTTGAAAAGTAGCTTGGATTCCTAATCTCTGATGCTAACAAAAAAAATAAACTAAGAAAACAGAATATAAATCTGGGAAAAATAAACATGACTTAGGTGTGGAGGCCGGACTGAAACATAAATTCCCACTTTTGTTAGAACATTCCTGTACTCAATCAGCATAAACACGAACCGAAAATGAAATGTACACAATACCTTCACAACTCCCTTGATACATTTGCATTTTCGAAATTTCAACAACTTGTATTAACTCGTCAATTCGGCATCAATGCACTGTAATACTCATGTGGTCTTTGTGGATTGCCTTTGCTATATTAAATAATAGAATAGTTATAATATTGTTGAGAACAAAAAATTCGTGTGGTATTTAATTGCTTTTATAGTAGCCAAAGGCTAACTTCAACTGAGTTGTTCATAGTCTCAAAACTAGACATTGCAAATACTTCCGTATAGTGGCGCTAGGAAAGGAAGGCTTTACACGGGTATGCTAATAATCTGGTCTCAAGCAACACGTATCTGCGTTTATCCGTTTTTAAACAGGTTTTACCTTTACAGTATAATCTTCCTGTACGACGAATAGCCTAGTGAAGAATTTTAAAAACTGAGATCATTATAGGCGGTTTTCACGTTACTTCATCGCCGCAATGCTGGTGGACGGTAAACAAAAGATCGCTCATTTAAAGCTCGTTTTGTTTGTCCACCAGCATTTGTTCATTTCACCATTGTTATTTGTGTCGCCCGAGACTGCATCGATCAAAACAACCTATACTGTCAGCATTGTGTTTATTCACTGTTATATGGTGAGAATATAGTAAAGTTACCGCAGCAGCAAAACGTTAATGTGGTCTTTAACATTCGATAATGTCCAGACAAGGACGTAAATAAATCGAAATAAGCTCTCTAAGAAAAATTTGAAGGAATATTCACTAATAAGAAGGAAGTCATACAGTGCACCCTATCTGAGCGTTATTGGCTTTAAATACTCTAGTCGGCCAATGAGCTTTCACAATTTTCCGTATCGCAAGAAGTTTGGATTTCAAATATAGCAATATCATTGTCCGAATAACGTACTGCAGTACAAGTAAGTGATAAAGGCCGTTTTTATGCTAGAGACGTTAAAGTTCGACTGAGATGTAAACACGACTTTAACGTCTAGTATAAGACCGGTAAATAAGACCAGACGCATTTAACGTCTGACGATTTTAAAACGTCCCCGAAGGCCCGGTTCAGACGCCGAACTTTTCATGAGCCTAATCTAATTCGAATTAAGGCCGACCCAAACTATTTAGAGCCCCTGAATTGATTGAGACGCCGATCTTAATTCTGGCCGAACTAAATTGAAAAGGAGAAAAATGCTCATTTTGACCAATGCAAAATGCTTGCCAAATACTTTATTATAATTTAAGCATTATGTTCGGTACATGAAAAGTTCGGCGTCTGAATCAAAGCCGTTTCACGGTCGAAATTCCCGGCCGGGCTAGGCGTGAAGAACGGACGCCGAACTTTTCATGTACTTAATTCAATGTATTAGGTTCGGCTCATGAGAAGATCGGCATCTGAACCGGGCCTAAGATCGTCTTTCGTATTTAGACGCACTTATTAGACGTTAGACGCATCTAAAACGACTTTGACGTCTCAAGCATAAGAGAGGCCAAAGTTCCAAGAGATGGGAACACTTGCAATTTAACGAAACATAGGTCAGCACAAAAATGGTAAATAAGACAGACGCATTTATCGTCTGACGTTTTTAAAACCTCCCCTTTTAAGTTCGTCGTTCGAATTCAGACGCACTTAACGGACGACTTTAACGTTTCAGACTACGTTCAATGCGTCTAGTAGAAAGAGGACGCCGTTAACTGCGACGCTTTTATGGCCAACTCTTCCAGAAATGACTGGGAAGAGCCGGGGACGTCTCAGACCTTAAAAGCGTCTTGATGACTATAACGTCTCTAGGATAAAAGAGGTCAATGTCCCAAGAGATGAGTACGCTCGCAATTTAACGGGTGAGTCATGGGTCAGGATAGGTTCCTCATCGCAACAGTTTTATGTCTGATACATGACTGTGTGGAGCCTCCAGGGTTTTCTTCTGAGGGGGAGTGGAGGGGGAGGGCTTGCATGCTTTAGAATTAGTGAATTCGTATGGTTTCTGGTGCGAAAGAGGAGAATTCGCGGAATTTTTCTTAGGTCTACCTGTCAGCAACTGCTCTCTCATTGTAAATAGTAACTCTAACAGGTCCCACTCTCATTGGAAAAAAATTAATACGCAAGTTTTCAGTGACACATTTAATTTAAACAACCTTTTAACAAGAAAAGACAGTTTCTTTTATATACCTATAGAACTAGTGTCCACTAAAGAATAATGATTTGCTCTTGATCGATCGAATGCTTTCTATTTTCGCCCAAAACGTTTTTCTTCAAAATTATTTTTTATCAACAAGTACTACCTGTACTTGTTCATGCTAGTGGAAAACAAAGCCTTTCTCCTCGTTTAATCTTTAACAATTATCTTGATAATAAAACTTTGGAATTAAAATAGTTAACTTTGAGAACGAGGAAGGAGAGAAAGCAGTGAAATTGAATAATTAATATTGATTTGTCAGGACGGAAGATTTCCTGTCGATGGAAAATTGTAGCAAGTTTTAAGCCCAGCGAAGATAGAAAACATTCGTGTCGAAAGCTAACGAAAGCTGGCGAATAACGTTTACTTTAACACATTTGATTAATTAGCACAACTACAATTTCGCTAAAGTGGTGCTTTAGAAACTGAACCTAAATAATAAGGATTTGAATTAGAAACTGGTAAACTATACCATAAATCAGAAAGATCTGTTTTAGCAGTAAAAATGGGACCGTTTCGGTAAGTCTAATTTGGCTCCCTTAAATCAGGGCCAATACAGTACAATTACGTAGGGCTGATTTGGACCCATAGCGCTGAAATGAACCCCAGCGTGGGCTTCTATAGCCTCTCGATTGGGCTGTTTCGGCCTTAATTGTGCTCAAATGGCACCAGGAGGGGTTGGATCAGACTTTGGCATGCAGGGCTGAATTGGCACTTTGAGTTGAAACAGATCTTTTTAATTTTCAGTGTATGATTATTCTGAAAATCGTAACCTTCTAATCGCAAAATCTGTGGACAAATTGACCTTAACTGACTAAATAAAAATTGAAATATTTTATAGGGTCTGGGCTTGGTTGTTCAAAGCAGGGTTAGTGCAAAATTTCAATTCAGATATGTAGGAGGAGGGAGGGGAGGGGAAGATTGGTATCACCTCCCCCTTTATATCATCCCAATAAATGAACAGAAGAAAACAGGAGCCTTTACGCTTCGAAAATCTATTTTGGTCATTAAGGACCCAATCAGGTTTATTGACTAAAGCTAAGCTGATATCGTGCTATCATGATGTAGTTTTAACAAAAGCCGAGGTATTGTAAAATGTAAAGGAATCAAAGACAGCCTGGGATTCCGGATTCCACGCAATGGATTCCGGATTCCAGGTATTGGATTCCTGATTTTTAGTCAGTGGAACTTGGATTCCGGACTCCAATCGTTTGTGGGATTCCGGATTTCTTGAGATGTATATTCCGTATTCCAAAGCCTAGGATTTCGGATTCCACAACAAAAATTTGCTGGATTCCGGATTCTACAAGCCAAAATTTCCCTGAGTCCGGAATCCCTTACTGAGGCAAGAGGTAGCTCTCAGTGGAAACGTGCATACTAAGCAATAAAACATCCTGTACAGTAAACTCTCTTCCACTATTTGAACTTTACATAGGAAAATATTTTGAAACAAAATATTGATACTCGAAAATGATTTGATAATAAGGTCTTGAATCTCTGAAGTGCTAGTCAGTTGAAAGCAAAACCCTCTGGGCACTCCCATTCCAATCTCTACCAAATTTGGCACGTTTTATTTATTTCATAAGGTGGCATCAGCTTCAGTACAACATTGTTCAGTTGAGGAAGCTGGTCTCGCGAAAACGTGAGAAATGTCGTTGAGTGTCCCAACTATTTGGTCGCACGGATTCTCTATTCAAAGATCTAAAGTTTTGAGACAATTTTGTGCTACTAACGCTCATTTACACAACCTCGAGTTAGCGAAGAGCTCAGGGATTGGCAAAATGTGTTCGCTATACCGAGGTTTCGTTTTTTCGAGGCTCTTTTCATATATTTTACTGTTACTGGCCTAAACAAAAACGTTCGTTATACCGAGGACTTGGTTATATAGAGGTTCGTTGTATCGAGGTTTCACTGTACACATGCCCACCCCATCCCCATCGCACCTATATCATTTTGAACACCTGTACCCTCAGTTTACGCTGAGTATCAATATAGGTGGTTTTCACGTTACGTCATCGCCGCCATGCTGGTGGACGGTAAACAAAAGATCGCCCATTAGTTCGTTTTGTTTGTCCACCAGCATTTGTTCATTTCACCATTGTTATTTGTGTCTCCCGAGATTGCATGAAAACCACCTATTGCAGCATTTGTTAGTTGGGGAAGGGGGGGGGGGGGGGGGGTGGGGCAGGATAAACCAACGCAGACATTTCTACGCAGATATGTATTTACCATCGTAGGCCTTGTTCCCAAGTTAAGCAGACTAAAAACCCATTACTCGATAAGATTACTGTTTCCAACATTTCGGTTATTAAGAGGATCAAGAATAATTTCTTGTTGTTGCATGGTTAAATGTAAAAAGGATAGAAACCCAAGTGTTGAGGAATAACAACTGCTAAATTTCCCTCCATTTTGTAGACGCAGTTGAAAGTCTCGAACTACTAAATTTCATTTGATTCTTGAATTTTCCGGGAACAAGAAAAATGAGAGTTTTAATTATATATAAGAGTATGTAAACATTACGTTAAGTCTTAATATAAAGAAATAGAATTCGTTTTCTGAATCGAACGACTTTGTTACACATGTTTTCTAAAAGAAGCTAAATAAAACCTACTAATACTTTTGTTCTTCTTAGCTGCCTCACAACGTGATACAAATTCCTTGCACTCAACTATAAAAGAAAATAGTAACAGTGTAATAAAAAATCATGAAATTACTTAAAGCACCCTTATTCTAATATATAGATTTAGCCAGGGCTAAAAGCGAAGCTCCCGTTAATAAATTCATAATTTAAATCAAACAATAAACTTGTAATCCACAGATCAGGGCACATTCATTTGACGTTTGAGGCAAAGGCTAAGTGATTTTAGAGAAAAATAATTTGACAGTCCAAGAGTGAAACAGCTTTTACATCGAGTTATTAAATAGTCTTATTTGTACACCCAAAAATAGCAATCATGTTCGATCACAGTAGATTAGGCCTGGAAAACAAATAGACCTACCTATTCGTGTATTGCATTCGCATTAGCTGTTACATCATAATGTGGCATTCACCACTCTCTCCAATATTGCTCCGTTTGAGAGACTATGGATAATTTGACAACCCCGAAATATAATTTTAAGAAACACAGGCGCCACGATAGTCCTTGGTGGCAGCCAATTTACACGTTGCATTCCTCTGTCTAAAAGAGAGGCCAAAATAAAAAAAAACAGGCCGGATTTTTTGTGTTCGACAAGTTTAGTTTACTAGTAAATCTTGGCGACGAATCTGGTGGTGTGTAAACCAGCCTTTTAAACATACTTTTTCTCATCACGTCTCAGGTAAACAGTACTATGAGGCCCTTGTTTTTATCATACAGACCTCGGACAGAATTTGTTCTTTTTTTGCCTTATTTAAACCTATAATTCTGCAGTTTTTCACAATTTTGCAAGAGAATTTGCACTCATTCAATATCCACGACGATCAAAGCACGCCCTTCCTTTGCACAACAAATTACAGCATTGAATTATAAAACGTTTTCATGAAGAGATTTCTATAATGCTAGGACTTTCAGTTAGAAAAATCTGGTCCTATCTGATACGCAGGGTAATATGGGCTTTTAATGAAAACCATAAACAAATTCCCAAAATCACTTTTCGGCCAGCCGGACGGGGCTCACTTTTGACAGGCACCAAATTTGCAGTGCGATTAATAGAGTTACCATTTACGCTTCAACATGATAGATAAATTGTTATGTTTAGGTTTTATTTCCCTTTATTTATTAAACTGCGTATGGTTTTGGTATGTGTAATCTTTAAAAGCGAGTGGTATTTACGCGCGGCGTAAGATTGGATAAAGATTGCGAGAGGGACTACTAACAATCAATAAAATAAATATAATTCGGTGAAATATGTACAGAGACAATAATTTTCATTCACGAAGAGAAGTATTGAGAGTAAAGTGTCTTTGAAAATCATGAGTCAGGTAAGCATAAGCTTATTTATGTTTTAAGCCGGCTTCCCGGTGTTTGCTCTTTTTCAAGATGAACTCGCGGCAAGAAAATCGCTCAGAGCTTTCTGTTTACAGCCAAAATCATAAGTAAATAATCTTCGGAACATTTTCTTTGAATTTGCGGTCAAAAAATGTCTAAAGGCTTTTTAAACCTGATACTATTGTAGGTTAGATCATTGCTCGTGTATAAACTTAAGCCGCATAAACCATACGCTCGACTTCAGGAAACCGAAAAAAAAAAAACACATCAAAGACAACAATTTCTCAGGCTTACCAGTCGAGATGCTGCTTCTGAAGGTCATCAAGTGTTCCAGAATTTTCAACCCTCTTACGCCTCAAGGAAGGGCAAGTGAGTAAGCTCATTTTTGAAAACGATGCCATCCGAAATCGGATTTCCAATGACTTTGACAAGCGGTGCATTTGTCAACAAAAAGCGCAATAAACAAACCAGCCATGAATTACAGAACAATCTTGATAGCAGCTGTATTTAGTTTTGTACACCAAGTAGGATAAGCCAGTTTAAAACATCACAAGATGACACAAAACTCTGTAAGCTCCAGCTATTAGTAAGCAAGTTGCCAGACGTTGCATAAATTTTCCGCATGAACTCACCTGTCAAATTTTGACCAATCAGAACATAAAAACTGGACGTAGAGCGTGATCAACGCGTGGCAGTGAGAAAAGTCAAAAGTGATTGCCTTCCCCGCATGTAAATGTAAAAGCCGGTTGAATTTTGGCGTCCGAGGTCAGTTCGAAATGAACATTTTAAAAGTGCGGCTCATGAACTCGTCTTATTTCATATGCTTTTTAAAAAAATTGAACTTGAGCCTGCGATAATTGAAAAGTAGCAACCTGTCAGCGGATACGTTAAAAAAAACACTCGAACTCAGTGGGTCGATACCTGAGCCCGCGATAGGGTCAGGCGATATTGGTCAGCAGAAACACTATTTTGACAGCTGTCAATTAATCAAAACATGGATGTACAATATCAGGTTGCAGGCTCCCAAACTAGCTAGAAAGTGTGAGATTAAACATTGGTATACCTGTGGTGCGGACAGACGGAAGGTCGGGTGGTCGGTGTATGGTCACGTGATTGCCGAATTTTCTAAGACGGATCCATTTTCTAAGCTATGTGACTTTGAATTGAGCCCGTGAGCCAATAAAATATCAGCGCAAAACTTTAAACACTACGTGACCTCAATGGATAGACAAATGAGCCCGCGATACACTCAGGTGATGATGGTCAGCGTATACTCTAGTTTGACAGCTGTCAATTACTCTTCATTAGAATGGCGAATATTCGAATTAACAGACTACGAGTGTGAGTAAGACATATCCGTCCGGCATGTAATGGAAAATGCCAGATCGTGTACCTGAGCGAACATGAGCCCACGTTATTAGTTTTCCGATAGTGGTCTGCACATGTCCCATTTTGACAGCTGTCAATTGACCTTCATTTGGCTTGCCAATATAACTTCCAACGACTGTCTCCCAACTGACAGCCTTGCCCGGCGTAGTTTTGTTTTTATGTTGAATTGGTTAGTGTGACATATTATATCAGCTTATATGTAGGCGCAAAACGACTGGTCTTTCATCTGAGCCCGCGAGATAGTCATGTGATAATTGTCAGCGGATGCCTAATTTTGACAGCTGTCAATCTAATCGTACTCATACGGATGGCTTACATAACTAAGAGGCTAGTCAAGTTGTGCAAGATCTATTGTGACATTTGACATCGGCTTACATGAAGCGTGTGTACGGGTGGGCGGGCGGGCGTACGCTACGTCATAACCAAATTTTCTCAGATGGATAGTTTACCAAATTTTCTTACCCATGGTGCTCCGCTCTGCGCGCGCTTCGCGCGCGCGAGGAGCTCCGCTATTAGGATCGACTAACAAAATCTGTCTGGATTGGCTAACATGAGTTGAAAGTAGAAGTGAGGGGCAATAATATTAATAATAACTTAAAAGTGGAAATACAAAAGATGTGGAAATGCAAAAGCGTATCTGTTGTTCCAATTGTATTGGGGGCACTTGGAGCAGTGACCAAAAACTTAATGGTGTGGGTTACTAAATAGGAACACTTGGGATCTTGAACTTACTCTAGAAAGCCTGCTTGTTGGGAAGAGCAAAGATCTTAAGAAGGATCCTGGACACCCAAGGCTACAGGAGATAGCTTGATGACCTAGGGATACGTGACCACCGATACTACTAGTGGGGTGAGATATGAACAACAACAAAAATAATAATAATAATAATAATAATAATAATAATAATAATAATAATAATAAATAGAAACAGTAGCATATTAAACTCAAGCCCGAGCCAGGTTTCCGCAAGACAGATGTGTCACTGGAATTAAGGTCACTAATAAACTCTGAGAGGTTCGTCCTATAACGAACTTGTAACCCAAATCGCTGTGAGTCACATGGACATAAATGGATAGCTGTCACTGAAATATTTATTATTTTAAAGGAGACGACAAATAACGATATTACCCGCTTAAGAAATCAGTCGAAGACTAGCACTGAGAATGAGAAATAAAAAAATGACCACGTCCACAAAAAATTTAACTTAATTTCAAAGAAGTTAAATTAATATAATAGACGTAGTGTAGCGCCTATTTATCTAGACTACTGTATTATTCATTCATTCATTCATTCATTCATTCATTCATTCATTCAGTCAGTCAGTCAGTCAGTCAGTCAGTCAGTCAGTCAGTCAGTCAGTCAGTCAGTCAGTCAGTCAGTCAGTCAGTCAGTCAGTCAGTCAGTCAGTCAGTCAGTCAGTCAGTCAGTCAGTCAGTCAGTCAGTCAGTCAGTCAGTCAGTCATTCATTCATACATTTATCTCCCTCTTCGCTTACTTTTGTGCTGATTTTACTAACTCTTGTTTGCGTCCGCTTTCTGTAATGTGGCCGCTAACGTTTGTGTGTATCAACTCTTATCGTTTTTAAGTTTAAAACTGAAAGACAGAACGGTCATTTGAAAAAAAAAAACTTGACACCTTACGACCAGCAAAAAAAAGCCGTACCTCGACATTGTGAGTGGTCTATTTTCTCCCATCAAATTCCAATGTGACGTCATCACCAATGAGTACAAACGGCGCCCAGTGAGTTACATCGCTAAATTCTGTGGATTCTCTCATGCAGTTCATTGCCCGGTTAAGGGCTTCACTTGCACTTTTTCCTGCCACAAGATGCTGATAGAAATTTTTCATAAACTCAAGAGTGGCCTTGTCGTCAATCGCCCACAATGATACCAGAACAGAACGAGCACCAGCACCTAAAAATGCCCGTGCTATGCCGACCACACCCTCTGCTTTCATTTCGCCACGAGCACTATGGCAGCAACTGAGTACAACCAATCTTGCTCGCAGCTGAACCTGCTTTACATCTTTCATTGTCAAAATGAAGTCCGACTCACTACATGTACTATTTGGCGCCAAAGCAATTTCTCCTGTTTCAATATTCCCATGAGCAGCGATGTGCAGCAAAGCAACAGAACCGAGTCGTCTTAACACCTCATCCTTCGTGGCCTGTCTTCCAACAAGAGGCGTAGAGCCAACCATTTTACCAATCATATTCACTTCCTTTCTGGCGCAGGGCAGCGGCTCTAGATTTGTCACATCTTGCACCCACGGATCACCGACAAGAAGTACGCCTGACTTGTGATGGTAATCTACCGGACATTGCGCAATCATTTTCAAGCTTGTGAGGGATGGAGCCACACGGATGCTGAATGATTCGCAAAGGTACTTGGAATCTGGGTTCATGAATGCAGCAAAAGGAGCCAAGCAAAGTGGACCTTCTGGAATAAATACGAGTTCACTGCCTGAAAATAGATCTTGAATAGGATCAATGATAGTGTCGTACAAAGTACACAGAGCTCTTTTTTGAAGATGTAAGGACTGGGTTTGTCTGACATCTTGAGGTGGTCTTTTAACTGCTAACCTTTCATTCCTTGCCAATGCAAGTGAGCGATCTTCACACTCTACATTATCACGTGCACCATTTTTCTCCACAAGAGACTGAAAGAAAGTTTTGATTTCATCTTGCGAACTGTTTTCTTTTCTTCTTAATTCAACCTCCTTTCCTTTCTGGCAAACCCAGAAAATCAATTCATTCTCTCCTATCGCCATAAATATTGTATTCAGAGGAAGGCAACTGGACAACTCATCAAATGTACTGTTTTCTTGAACAGCATCATTTGTTTCAAATAAATAGTTTAATGCCATGAGGTCTTTCAGACTCTGCGCCCGTCCTTGCTCGGCAGAAAACAAAGCCTCCGTAACCTTGCCAGCCGCTAACATCACACGCAACAGTGCCGCGTATACGTTTTGGTATTGATCACGTAAGCTTAATTTCCATCCATCGTTCAACTGAAGACGATCTCTGATGTCATTTAACAAAGTAATATCGGTCTGGTAATATTCAATAGCCACTGAAACTTGCCCTAGAGATTCAAAAACAGAACCAAGGTTATAACATGCTACTCCCTCATCAAAACTGTTATTCAATTCTCTCGCAATTTTCAGGGAACGTTCTTGGTAGTCTATTGCTGTTTTAAAATCTCCCAGACTGAGATGGGCATTGCCAAGATTGCCACACGTCTTTCCTTCTCCTGATCTGTCACCCAATTCTTTCGCAATTTTCAGGGAAAGTTCTTGGTAGTGTATAGCAGTTTTGAAATCTCCCAGTCTATTATAGGCATTGCCAAGATTGCCACACGCCTTTCCTTCTCCTGATCTCTCACCCAATTCTTTTGCAATATTCAGGTGACGTTCATAGTAGTCTATGGCTGTCTTAAAATCTCCCAGACTGAGATGGGCATTGCCAAGATTGCCATACGCATTTCCTTCTCCTGATCTGTTCCCCAACTTCTTTGCAATTTTCAGGGAACGTTCTTGGTAGTGTATAGCTGTCTTAAAATCTCCCAGACTGAGATGGGCATTGCCAAGATTGCCATACGCCTTTCTTTCTCTTGATTTGTCACTTAATTCTGTCGCAATTTTCAGGTGACGTTCATAGTAGTCTATGGCTGTTTTAAAATCTCCGAGACTGAGATGGGCATTGCCGAGATTGCCATACGCATTTCCTTCTCCTGATCTATCACCCAATTCTTTCGCAATTTTCAGGGAACGTTCTTGGTAGTCTATGGCAGTTTTGAAATCTCGCAGACTGCGATGGGCATTGCCAAGATTGCCATACGCATTTTCTTCTCCTGATCTATCACCCAATTCTTTCGCAATTTTCAGGGAACGTTCTTGGTAGTCTATGGCAGTTTTGAAATCTCCCAGACTGAGATGGGCATTGCCAAGATTGCCATACGCATTTCCTTCCCCTGATCTATCACCCAATTCTTTCGCAATTTTCAGGGAACGTTCTTGGTAGTCTATGGCAGTTTTGAAATCTCCCAGACTGCGATGGGCATTGCCAAGATTGCCATACGCATTTCTTTCTCCTGATCTATCACCCAATTCTTTCGCAATTTTCAGGGAACGTTCTTGGTAGTCTATGGCAGTTTTGAAATCTCCCAGACTGAGATGGGCATTGCCAAGATTGCCATACGCATTTCCTTCTCCTGATCTATCACCCAATTCTTTCGCAATTTTCAGGGAACGTTCTTGGTAGTCTATGGCAGTTTTGAAATCTCCCAGACTGAGATGGGCATTGCCAAGATTGGCATACGCATTTCCTTTTCCTGATCTATCACCTAGTTCTTTCGCAATTTTCAGCTGACGTTCATAGTAGTCTTTGGCTGTTTTAAAATTTCCCAGACTGCGATGGGCATTGCCAAGATTGCCATACGCATTTCCTTCTCCTGATCTATCACCCAATTCTTTCGCAATTTTCAGGGAACGTTCTTGGTAGTCTATGGCAGTTTTGAAATCTCCCAGACTGAGATAGGCATTGCCAAGATTGGCATACGGATTTCCTTCTCCTGATCTATCACCTAGTTCTTTCGCAATTTTCAGCTGACGTTCATAGTAGTCTTTGGCTGTTTTAAAATTTCCCAGACTGCGATGGGCATTGCCAAGATTGCCATACGCATTTCCTTCTCCTGATCTATCACCCAATTCTTTCGCAATTTTCAGGGAACGTTCTTGGTAGTCTATGGCAGTTTTGAAATCTCCCAGACTGCGATGGGCATTGCCAAGATTGCCATACGCATTTCCTTCCCCTGATCTATCACCCAATTCTTTCGCAATTTTCAGGGAACGTTCTTGGTAGTCTATGGCAGTTTTGAAATCTCCCAGACTGAGATGGGCATTGCCAAGATTGCCATACGCATTTCCTTCTCCTGATCTATCACCCAATTCTTTCGCAATTTTCAGGGAACGTTCTTGGTAGTCTATGGCAGTTTTGAAATCTCCCAGACTGAGATGGGCATTGCCAAGATTGCCATACGCATATCCTTCCCCTGATCTATCACCCAATTCTTTCGCAATTTTCAGGGAACGTTCTTGGTAGTCTATGGTAGTTTTGAAATCTCCCAGACTGAGATGGGCATTGCCAAGATTGCCATACGCATTTCCTTCTCCTGATCTATCACCCAATTCTTTCGCAATTTTCAGGGAACGTTCTTGGTAGTCTATGGCAGTTTTGAAATCTCCCAGACTGAGATGGGCATTGCCAAGATTGCCATACGCCTTTCCTTCTCCTGATCTATCACCCGATTCTTTCGCAATTTTCAGGGAACGTTCATAGTAGTCTATGGCAGTTTTGAAATCTCCCAGACTGAGATGGGCATTGCCAAGATTGCCATACGCATTTCCTTCTCCTGATCTGTCACCCAATTCTTTCGCAATTTTCAGAGATCGTTCTTGGTAGTCTATGGCAGTTTTGAAATTTCCCAGACTGAGATGGGCATTGCCAAGATTGCCATACGCATTTCCTTCCCCTGATCTATCACCCAATTCTTTCGCAATTTTCAGGGAACGTTCCTGGTAGTCTATGGCAGTTTTGAAATCTCCCAGACTGCGATGGGCATTGCCAAGATTGCCATACGCATTTCTTTCTCCTGATCTATCACCCAATTCTTTTGCAATTTTCAGGTGACGTTCATAGTAGTCTATGGCTGTCTTAAAATCTCCCAGACTGAGATGGGCATTGCCAAGATTGCCATACGCATTTCCTTTTCCTGATCTGTCACCCAATTCTTTCGCAATTTTCAGGTGACGTTCATAGCAGTCTATGGCTGTTTTAAAATCTCCGAGACTGAGATGGGCATTGCCAAGATTGCTATACTCCTTTCCTTCCTCTAATCTGTCACCCAATTCTTTTGCAATTTTTAGGTGACGTTCATGGTAGTCTATGGCTGTTTTAATCTCTCCGAGACTGTGATGGCCGATGCTAAGACTGCCATACGCTTTATCTTCTGTCGATATTTCAGTTGTGTATTTCACCATCGTGCCAGTTTTCTGAAATTAAATTACGTAAAAAATATGTTTACATAGGAAAATGCCCAGCTTGAGTACTAGGCTTGCAGTTACAGTCACCGAAACCCTATTAACTGTGCTATCCTGCCTTTGTATATGAACATATTGATCTAAATAAGAAAATGGGGAGGCAAGACATCTGTGATTAAGCCAGTCTGGCTGAACCGGGCTCATTTGACGAGAAGAGGGTGGCTTAGCTTAATTAACGCAAATGGTAATGTAATGGAAATATTTGGCTGAATCATTATGGGTTTCAACAGCAAATCAAAGGTGTTTTTCTGAGGTATCCCAAATAAATCTAACCAGTTACGTTTGAAATGTCTTTCTAAAGAAAAAAAATATGGGACAAACTTTATATCATCTAAATTTAGCCTTTTATTAGTTCACATTATAATCTAAAAAAAATGTTTACATTTATTCTGATAACAGCAGGTTGAACATGCTCATCCTCAATTAGAACACTATTATACAGTGCGTACGTGTTTGATCTTGTCTGACAAGAAAAATCTGTTTTAGAAAGTGGTAAATATTTAGCTACAAGTAAGCGTAAGAGCTTCCGGAAAATGTCTATCCTGGATTAACTCATCTATCAAGAAACAAATACAAATGAGAAACCGTTTTCACAAGTTGTTCGCCGGTTCCCAACAATTGAAAACTGGATTATTTATAGACGACAGCAAAATAAGTTTACTTCCATAAAAAGGAAGGCTGTTAAAGGTTTTAAAGCAGCTTGTAATTTATGTGGTTGTTCAACAGATTTGTGCGTTTATCGGTGCGACACCAGCCTTCGAGATATCCTTGTCTACAGTACGTTTTCTGTGTTTCAAGAGAAAGAGCAGCCTAATAATACATTTCCTTTTCACCGATCCAGATGTGTGTACACCCGATCGTTTGCTAATAACAAGCACGTGAACGGAGTTGTACAACTAAAAGGACACCAGAGTTACACTACGACAAGTGTGATCTACACAACTGATCGCCTGTAAAAATTACCGTGCTTTGTACATTGAATACACTGGTCGTAGAATCGGTGACAAATTCGGCGAGCACCTCCATTCCGTGGAAGGTCGCCATGAACAACGCCTATTTCATTTGCATTTGCAATTTTTCTGCCCCCTGGTAGAACATTTTAACCTTCCAAACCACAATTGTATCAGCGACATGTCTGTGTCTGTGATCTAATAATATCAGTGAATTGGCAACGAGGAGTTACCAGAAAAAGGAAAGAGGAAATAGGACTCATTTTCGCGCAACCTTTTTACTGTGTGGAATAAACACTGAATTTAAGTTTTAAGTTGTATCTTACAGGGGCACCCAACGTCAATTTTCGCAAAAAAAATATCTGTTCGGAAAACAATTTGAGATCTAGAATTTTCGGAACATTTGTTGTAAAATTTCTTGCTTGCCTACCTCTCCGGGGATTTTCGAACATCTATAAATGGTATAATTACCCATTTTTAACGGATTTTTACCCTAAAAAGGACACATAGACTTTTCGGAAGCCTTTTTTTCTAGTTGAAATTTTCAAGTTTTGATCCCTATAATTTTCGGATCACTAGACGTTCACCTAGGAAATCCGAACAGATGAAAAAATTTTAGGAGATAAAAATATGCCCATATCTACCGTTTAAATACTAAAATACCTTCAACAATGCTCTGTTTAAGTGGTTTTGAACTATATTCTCGACGGGTGCCCCTGATGTTACAATTTGAGCTGTCCTGTAGCTAAGCCAACCTACAATAGCAGATGCCATTCCAAGACAATGTTCCAGTAGCCGAAAGAAGTGACTACTTTTGTAGCCTATTGGAAGCGTTACTAGGATTTTTCCGGTGGTACCGGTGTACAGTTTTCCAAATCAACTCTGTCAACCAAATCATTTTCTTTTTTACCTCCTTTCCGTGGCTCTCTTGCAGTTTCCTTCGTTCTCCCAAGGCCCTTCTCCGTAATTCCAACAACTTCTTGTTGTTCGGCTCTATCTTGTATTAGTTAAAGTGTTACATTATTTATAAAAATAAGCAAACAATGCTAACAAACTTAACTTATATGATCTTGAGTCACACGACCTTTCGTTGGTGAGAGAAAGGAAGCAACTGCAAAGTACGTACTGTACAGCAACCAACAAATAATAAGCAATCATTGAATAATAGGCTGAGTATGATCTTAAAGAATTATGGAGATCGAGGAGGCTGTAATTTCTTTCACACATGTAACCGATATATTTTTTGTTCTTATTTGAATTTGCAGTCCGTCTACCCCACCCTCACCAGAATATTTTCGTCATAACCTGGGTATCAATTGAAAACTGGCTGTAGTATAACTTTAAAACCGTTCAAGCTATGACCTCCAGTTTTAGCGACGTTTCCCAAAATTTCAGTGGAAAACTTTTTTTTGAAGCCATAGTGACGACTACGTCAACATTGAGGTTACCATAACAGCCGAGTTTTGACAGCCATCTCTTTCAAAATATATATTTTTCTTTAAAACAGGTTTATTTATAGTATTACCTATTGCAATAGTTATATTTAACTTAATTTAGCATTAATTTATCAGATAACCCTAGTTGATAACTTAATCCAGGCTTTTTAGTGACTAATTTGAGAAAAGATACCCAATTGGCAGATGCTGGGTTTAATTTCAAACAGTGTTCATTCTCCGCTTGAAAGTCCTTAACTTTCATTTTCAACCTTTTATACACAGATCAAATTTTCTCTCACGATTCCGTCGATTTGTATAGTTTTTAATTAAAGTGAAATACAATTAATCAATTTAAGAGTGAGTCCATGGGTGCACCAGGCAGGTGCGCTACATGCTATCTCTCCGATTTCGATGAAACTTGGCCAGTTTAAAGGGTCTACCCCAAAACTCAAAATGACAAACTGGTTCATAGTTTGGATCTTTATGGTGGGAGATAGCCCACCCAACTGGTTTAATTAGATTTTTTACCAATAAAAGTGCATTAATAACAGGCAAAAGTAGGAAGCTCTCAGGACAACTGTTTTTAACCTTTGACTATGAGGGTTTGTATAAATGTTGATGCATCTTTGACAAATGTAAGAATATAAGTTTCAGTCAATTTGATTGACAGCTTGTCAATCACCGGCCTTGAACATTGGACCACCTTTTTAGCCATTCAAATATTTGCTGATTTTGAGATCAAATATCGCTCCTTGCCAGAAAGCTATGACAATAATTTTGCTATTCCCTGTTTACCAACCCTTTAGTCTATAATAAACATAAAAAACATTTTGGGCACTGCCTTTTTTGGGCGTCAGATGCCAATTGAAAACTGCACCTAAAACAAGCTTATTTCCACTTCA